GTTATACAGTATACACGGCTACATCTTATGTAACCGCAAAAAGTTATTATAGGGTTTGAAACCCCCGGTGAGTGAGAGGGGGACCAGAGGTTAGTATTTGAAAGGATTGGCCATAAAATCTAAACTACGGTAATGTAAAAATGAGGGAGAAGTGAAAATGTTAAATTGAATATTCTTACATAGTACAATGTTCACTGCAATCTATTGGCAGATAAACAATCTAGCTATGTTGTTGTGTATGTTTACAGTTTACTACATTATGATTGTTGCATACATTTGTGTGTAATTTAGTTTAATTAATGTATATACGATTTTGTATAGTTTTATTGTCTATTATTTTATAGGATTTTTTACATGTATTAATGAATTGGCGATCATTTTAATGGACAAATACTATCTGACGATCACTTCATTGTTCACAATATGTTTTCAATTGTTTTTCTTTTGCATTGCGTTTGCCTTAAAGTTTGATAAAGTATTTCAAAAACTTTTTTATTTCAATTTTAATTAATTTAATTTTTAAGCCCTGAATAGTGTACGTAAAATAATTTACAAATTATTTACTGACACTCAATAGTGTACACAATATATGGCACACTATAGTTACTGTCCATTATTTATCTGAAAAATTTTATCATATATTTAAATAAGAAATAACTATTCATAAGAGAAAGTAATATATAATGAATACATGTGTTGTTTAGGTGACAGACCTGAGCGGGACGACCAACTTCTTGGTGTTGGCACTACTGGTGCTGACGTCCAACGAGACATATTTCACCCGACAGATAGTNCTGTCCATTATTTATCTGAAAAATTTTATCATATATTTAAATAAGAAATAACTATTCATAAGAGAAAGTAATATATAATGAATACATGTGTTGTTTAGGTGACAGACCTGAGCGGGACGACCAACTTCTTGGTGTTGGCACTACTGGTGCTGACGTCCAACGAGACATATTTCACCCGACAGATAGTTGTCACCGCTTTAACCACGATATGGTCGCTACGGTTGGGCACATTCCTCACGATCCGAGTGCTGATCCGTCACTCGGATAACCGGTTCGATAGAATCCGCGACAAATTCTGGCCATTCCTCTACTTTTGGTGCTTTCAAATGGTTTGGGTGTTCGCCGTCTCACTGCCCGTCACTCTGACCAACGCCTCGGTGGCCGACTGTCCACTAAACTCACTCGACTTAATCGGTTGGACGCTATGGGCGGTTGGGTTCGCCATCGAGACGGTGGCCGATCACCAGAAGTTTGCCCATAATATGCTACCAGTGGACAGTCGGCCGCCGTTTTTGGCCACCGGCTTGTGGTCTGTGTCCAGACATCCCAACTATTTTGGCGAAATTATTTTGTGGACCGGAATATTCATCACTTCATGCAATGTTTACTCAATAGCGGCCAATGATATGGCTTTCGGGTATTATTTGTCGGCCGTATCGCCGGTCCTGACGTTTCTATTGCTGTCGTTTGTGTCGGGCATACCGTTGGCCGAGAAAAAGTCGGACAAACGGTGCGCTAAACTCACCAAATATAAGGACTATAAGCGCACGACGAGTCCTCTCATACCATTTCCGCCCAATTTGTACAAACATTTGCCTAATTTTGTTAAAGTGTTGCTATTTTTGGATTTTA